GGGGGGCGCCGCGTCCCGGCCTGCCCCCCGCGGCGCGCACCCTGCGCGTCACCAGCCGCCGGCGCGGGGCATGCCGGGAGATGTAGTCCGGGGAGGCGGCGGCCATGACAGTGACCCCTTCCCTTGGGATTCTCGTAGGATTATTAGGGAATGCGGCAGATTGCGGTTAACTGATGCTGAGTTATGTTTCCAGATACGTGCAAAATTATCTGGGTATTAATGTTACGCTTCTAGGGGGGAAAATGCGGAATTTTAACTGAATTTTGCAAAACTAAAAGCATTTCTGCAAATGTCACTGTGAACTCTAGGCAGGACGGACACATCTTGCATGTAATGATTGTGAAAGGAGATCTAACAAAAAGAACTGACAAAACAGTAAAATAACCCTGCAAATATCCAAAAAAAAAGCCAAACAAACAAGAAAACCCTAATGTTTCTTTCATAGGAGAGTTGATATTAATACTCTCAGATAATGAAAAGGCATTCTGTGAATAAAAGACTAATACCATAGAATCACAGAATGCTTAGGGTTGGAAGGGACCTCTAGCGGTCATCTAGTCCAACCCCCTGCACACGCAGGGTCACCTAGAGCACGTGGCACAGGACTGCGTCCAAGTGGGTTTTGAAGATCTCCAGAGAAGGAGACTGCACAACCTCTCTGGGCAGCCTGTTCCAGTGCTCTGGCACCCTCACTGTTAAAAAATTTTTCCTTAAGTTCCTGTGGAACTTTTGGGATTTCAGTTTGTGACCATTACCTCTAGTTCTGTCAGTGGCCACCAGTGAAAAGAGGCCAGCACCATCCTCCTCACTGCCTCCCTTGAGGTACTTCTAGACACTGCTCAGGTCCCCTCTCAGCCTTCTCTTCTCCAGCTGAACAGGCCCAGCTCCCTCAGCCTCTCCTCATAGGGCAGATGTTCCAGGCCCCTGATCATCCTTGTGGCCCTGCGCTGGACTCTCTCCAGCAGCTCCACATCCCTCTTGCACTGTGGAGCCCAGAACTGGACACGATACTCCAGATGTGGCCTCACCAGGGCTGAGTAGAGGGGCAGGATCACCTCCCTCGACCTGCTGGAATATCAAGCTGAAGAGGCCAAAATAAATGCTCAATAGTGAAATTCATTTGAATTTTAAGTGTTATAGTTGTTTATCTAACTGAAATTCATCTGAATTTTAAATGTTAGAATTGTTAATGTAAGTGAATTGCCTTAGATTAACATGACCCATGAGGGATGAATTGGGTGCACTGGTCTGGGGGTGACTCATGTATGAAAGCCCCTCCAGGAGAAAATTTGCAGTGAGGAAATTATCATTTTGGGACTGTTATTTGTATTTTTGTTGTCTTTCTTAGGATAGGATTTATCTGCTGACGTAAACAACTAGAAGTCACCTGGCTAAGCTTAACTTCTGGGTGACCATTCTAGCTTGTGTAGG